GCAGCTGGAAGTGAGGAAGATGCCAAGCAAACAGCTCTAGGAGGAATGACTATCTTGACAACAAACCACTAAGAAAACACACTTTCTCTTGCCTACTTTTTTTTTTTAATATTTTATTTTTTGACAGAGAGAGAGACAGCAAGAGAGGGAACACAAGCAGGGGGAGTGGGAGAGGGAGAAGCAGGCTTCCTGCTGAGCAGGGAGCCAGATGTGGGGCTCAATCCCAGGACCCTGGGATCATGACCTGAGCCAAAGGCAGATGCTTAACGACTGAGCCACCCAGGCGCCCCTCTCTTGCCTACTTTTTAAGAGATGATGAAGTGCCATAAACCAGGAGGCACAGTTTTTAAAAGCTGTTGATTCTAGGAAGTGGCACTTATGGGACAACTAATGCATTCTTGCTTAGTCTTGCGGAACACTGATGTTGAGAGGTCAGTATTAAGGAGTTGCTATGGAAATCTTTTCCTCAAACTCTTGTGCTCTGTTAGTGGAAAAGTAAAAAGATGTAGTCGCCATGGAAAATAATATAGTGATTCCTCAAAAAATTAAAAATAGAATCACCATAAGATCTAGCAATTCCATTTCTGGATATAAACCCAAAAGAATCTTGGATCTGCAAGAGATATTTGCACACCCATGTTCATGAAGCATTATTCACAAGAGCCAAAATATGGAAGCAACCCAAGCGGCCAACAACAGATGAATGGATAAACAAAATGCGGTTATATACATACAATGGAATATTACTCAGCCTTAAAAAGGAAGGAAATTCTGACATATGCTTCAACATGGATGAACCTTGAACACATTAAGTGAAATAAGCCAGTCACAACATGACAAATACCGTATGAGTCTCCCTATATGAGGTATGTAGAGCAGTCAAAGTCATAGGGACAGAGAGTAGAATGGGGGTTGCCAAGGGCTGTGGAAGGGAGGAAGGAAGGAGAGTTATTGTTTAACAGAGAGTTTCAGTTCTGCAAGATAAAGAAGTTTTGTGGATGGATGATAATGGTTGCAAAAACCAATGTGAATGTACTAATGCCACTTTAAAAATGGTAAATCGGTGTTATATATATGTTACCATTTAGAAAAAACAAAGATTAAATCTTTCAGCCAATTCTCAGGGAAAATTCCGCACTCTCTTCTACCATATTTTAAGTTTGGTACCACCTATAGCTTATCTGTTCTCTGACACAAACAGAAGGCAAAATAAATGAACACACAGGACATGAGCATCCATGAAATACTCTGAGACTCACCAGAGGTAGGCTTCATTTGGCAGCTCTGCGAGCATACAAATGCTCACGGCTGTGATTTATATATATAACAGATTTTCTAAGAAAATTTGTTTTATGATGCTTTGGAAAATAGAAATGCTCCTTTAAGAAAACCCGAACAAATTCGATTGTTCAGTCCCCTTTGCCCACAGTTTAATAATCATTATGTCAAGGAAGTCTACTTCAATGGCTCTCAGTCGTGCAAAGGTCAAAGGTTCTAAAGCAAGTTTAATTTCTGTAAGAGGGAAATATCATTGCCTAAGGCTTTATCATAAGTAGGACTGTCCCACGGGGAATAAGGACCCAGAACCAAAGCTGTTATAACATTTCCTATCTTCATACTAATTTAAAGTTTATAAAGCAATTCCAAACACACACTTTCATCTGAACCTCACAAGCCACTCCATAGGGTAGGTTTTAATGGCACAAATTTTGAGGGGAACACAGAGTTTAAGTGATTTGATCAAGATCAACAAGCTACTATGCGGGTCAAACCTAGGTCTTATAAGTTCAAACCCATTTTTGTATTTCCCTAAACCTTAAATTTAGCTCTCCAGTCGCAGGCTTTGTTGATCTCCAGACAAGGAAACCTTCACTGCTGGGGTCCGAGGGCCACGAAAAGGAGTGTATACAGCAAGACCTGTCACAGAAGTACTGGGGCCTCACCTCCTCCGCCAGAAAATGAGATATTACTTGACATACGCACCAGTCAGTATTCTTTGTAGGATCCAAGGAAATTATATGTGAGAACATAAAAGCATAAAATAAAATGTTAAGTCATTAAAAGGCATATAGTTGTCAGGAGACTGAGATTTCCCGACTCACAATCAGGAAGGTGGAGTGTGGAGGTAAGCATGTATGCAAAACAAACTAACTAACTGACCAAAAAGCCTGACTGGTGCCCGTGATGGGCTGGAAGTAGTGACAAACCGGGTACTTTAGGGGGGCAGGAGGCTGGGGGAGACAAACTGGCCACTGTCCCAGAGACAATACTGAGGTCCCAGAGACCCTAAACTCTCAGGCCTTTCTTCACTCAGACATTTCAAGACGGTAAGGAAGCATGTAGGGTAATCCTATCTATATCCTATCTGCATCCTTGGATAAAGAGGCCACGGAACCGAATGGTGCTACAGGCTGAATGTTACAGTACATACAAGAGTCAGCCACAGTGGCAACACACCCTGCTCAGTCCAGATTCTGGAGGGCTCCAGGAAGGGTTGGAGCTCAAGGATTTGCTAGGTCTAGCTACCGCTTCTACTCTGGGGCTTGGCGGCTTCCTGACACTGTGGGCTGTGCCTTCATTTATTCATCCTCAAGGAGTGGATTGGAGGCCAGTTGGCAGAGGCACAGGCGGAAGGCCATGGAGCCAGTAGTCTGGTATTTGGGAGCTGGGGACAGAAATGGAGAGCAATGGGGCCGCCATAAGCCTTGCAGCCTCAGGTTTTACTTTGTTCCTTCATCCAATCTGCAAATATTCGTGGAGTGCCAGCTCTAAGTTTTCTGAGCACTGGCTACGCAGTGCTAGATCAGAGAGCAAGGCCCTCCTTCAGCACACTGACATCCTGGTGGGGAAAGACAGATAATGAACCAAAGACACTATGACAGTGTCATAGTAAGTGCTATGAAGAAAAAAGCCAGGAAGTGTGACTGAGAGACCACGATGGGCCTGAGAAGACAGCATTTAAGCAGAGACCCAAATGCCAGATGACAAGGAGGAAAAGAGATGGAGGTACACAAAGCTTCCCAGGCAGAGTACCAGCCCGTGCAAAGGCCCTGAGGTGAGAACAAGCTTCGCCTGTAGGAGGAAAGACGGAAGAAAAGAATGCTATGAGCTCAGGTTAGAGGGGTAGCCGGAGGGCTACCAGATTAGTTAGGGCCTTTCAGGTCACAGTAAGAAGTCTGGATTTTATGCTCGGTGATACGGAAATTCACTGGAGCACAAAGGAGTGACATGTCTAATTTATGTTTTCAGATGAGTTTGGCCTGACAGATCATAAAACAAATAAGATACCTCTGATATTCTCTATTAGAATGTTCCATTTTAATAGATTTCTCATTAAAACCAAGAGGGGCCATGGCTTAATTGGTATTAAAGTGTACACCAGTATCACTTTAGCAGGAATCCCCCGGAGTGAGAGAAATATGGAGGATCAGGAGACAGGAAAAATGACACTAAGGGAGGCAGGATGGCAGCCAGCTACCTCTGTTGCCTCCCAGGCTCATCTTCACAACCCTCCACAACTCATCTCTACAACCGGGAGTTGATATCCTGAGCCACCTGGCCTGTGTGCCTGGCTCCTCATCCCTGATCGGAAGGGCACCCGTGAGAGCTGCAGAGGACAGCTACTCGCCTGTGGAGCCTCATCTTCTGGCCTGTGCCAAGAGGCCACCCTTCCAGCTTCCACAGCTCACGGGCTATCTGGGAAAGTGTAAGGCAAGAACCCTGAGGGGTGTCAGAGGGAGAATGCTTCAATAACCTCTTTTTCCTGTCTGATCCCATGAATGCCACAACAGGGAGGAAAAAGAGGCCAGTAGGCCCCAGCCTGAGTTTCCAGCGCTGGGCTAGAAACTGGCTTGTCTAGGTACTGCCAAGCATACCCGAACGATACAACAGAGAAAAGGGCCTCTACTTGATTCCTTTCTTCCCTTTTCTTTAACTATCCGATGCTGAATCATTCCTCGGTGACCTTAGGCATTTTTGACCTACATCCAGGTCCAGCAAGCTATAAAGTTACACAACACTACCAGATCAAGGCAGGTTTGCTTCCCCTAAGGAGGATCAACAAATTGTCTAAAGAAATAAAAACTCTCACGGCACGCTTGCTGCAGTCTGTCTTACTAAGTAGATGGTACAAACATCACAGTCACTTCCAATCTTGAGTCAATCAAATACCTTTAATATTCTGGGAGAGAGAAGAACCAAACAGATCCTATTAGTTTAAAACCAAGAACAGGCCGAGGTATGAATGAGAAAAAAAAAAAACAAGGAACAGGAACAAAATGGTGGCTATATGCTTCTAAAGTGTTGGATCTATTTGCTTTTTCAAAAAGACTGAGAGAGAAGAGAAAGGGTGGCTTCTGTGTCTCACATCATGCTCCCCACTCCACCCCCAAAAAGATGGGGAGGAGAGTAGGGGAGAAATCATTGGCATCCATGAGCTCCAAATAGAAAGCATCCAATTATTGTTTCAAAAGCTATTTCAATCGGAACACACTAACAATTTCTTACTTTTTTTTTTTAGACTGCTCACTTAAAAATCAGGATATAGCAGGCCTAAAGGGATATTCAAACTCATTCAGTCCAAAACACTTCACTGATGAAGAGTCAAGCCCAGAAGGTTTCAGATAGTAGAAGTGCCAGGAAGGGAACCTGAGTCTCCTGACTCACATTCCCTTTAGCTTTTATTTATAAAATAAAAGCACATTATAGGAAAACAGGAACGGGACAGGCAATCACCAGTAATCTAATCATCATACTAACCACTATTAGCATTTTGTTCCTTCTATCACATGCTTATAGATGCCCCCCCAACATGTTATGATCATATTGGACTAACGTTCCTTCTAATACACAGGCTGTTCCTGTTATCAAAAAATACATAACAGCACCTATTATTAGGGCTTGGAATTCACATCCTTTTTATGGAGTGTTTAAACAACTCTCATGAGACCCTGGACACAAGAATCAAGCTGCTTAAGCTCAGATCAGTTCGGTTTACCTACCTGGTGCATCAGGTACTTGAAGAGGAATGAAAGGATCAGATACACTTAGAAGTGGGAGGCTAGAATCCACAGTCTGCCCACCCTTCCTTTTTTCAGCTGGAGTTGGTTGGAGGGGAAGAAAGGGTCAAGGAGAGAAAAAAAGAGAAAAGCAGAAAACATCAAGTAAATCTAGATGAATTTACCATCTATTAACCCAACAGCTCAAATTGTAGAGTAAATCGAAACTCAGAGGCAGAATAAAGAGGGATGAGTGGATATAATCCAGTGTAATGGCAAAATATGTATGAGAGATATAATGTGGTCCTTGCAACACACTCAAAGATGCAACTGATGATAAAACTAGTATATTCATACACCTGAGATCCACTTCTTCCTTGTGTGGAAGCCTACAGGGATCTCTTCCAGATTCCTGTAGCAACTATTGTCCGTATCACACACTGTAGCATGTAAACAAACACTGTCTGTTCTGTAATCTAACACAGATGTTATGTGTTTCAATATGCCCTCTACCATCCTGAGGTCACTGTATCACCAAATGTCTATTACAGTGCCAGGCAGACAGACACAGACAGAAACAGAAATAGGCTTCTTGTCTGTTGCAAGGTTAGACAGGCCCTAACTTCTGGACTACATCTAACATTCACTGACATTCATTCTATACTTGGCAAACTTGCAGATTTACAAAAATCTATACACCCTGTGGGATATCAGGGCTTGAAGAGGTCTTAGGATTTTATAGCACAATTTTCTTATTTTACAGAAAAGAAAATGAAGCCCAGAAGTTAAGAGGCTAGCCAGAGGTCTACCAGCAAACCCAAGGTCAGAACCCAGGCTTGCTGGTTTCCTACTTAGCATTCTTTACATTGCATTTTAATACTCATTTGTTCTTTAAAATCTCATTTTGCCTTCTATAGATTTAAAACCTTTTTATTTTCAAATGATTATGAAATCATAGGAATTTGCTAAACATAGAGTCCTGGGAACCTTCAACCAGCTTCCCTCCATGGTTAGATCTTTTACAACTATAGGACAGTATCACTGACACTGTTACGATACTGTTAACTACACTTTATTCAGTTGTCACATGCATTTGCACGCGCGCGTGTGTGTGTGTGCGTGCAGTTCTTCCCAATTAGATCCTATGTATAGGTTAACATAAGCACCACTGTGACAATGATAAAGAACTGTTCCATCAAACCAAAGAACCCCTTTGTTGTTCTCCTTTATAGTCATACCCACTCCTTACTCCAGTCCCTACCCCCTGGAATCCACTAATCTGTTCTCAATCTCTATAATTTTGTCATTTTGAGAAGGTTATTAAATGGGTTTTTAACTAAGCTTCTTTAAAGGTAGATGGAGGAAGACAAGGGTAAAATCACTGCTCTTAAAATTTCTATAATATTTTCAAATGAGACACAGTGAAATACATTAGAAGGAAAAGAACAAATCATAAAACTGGGTATATACATTTTGAAAAAAGTATATATACAGAAATAAAATTATGGACATAAATATTGTAAAATGTCAGCAATGTTTTCCTCTGGGGCCTGGGATTGTGAGTTCTTTTATCTTGTTTCTTTGGGCTTTTAGTCATTTTTCCAAAATTACACAAGTGAATGTGTATAACTTAACAGAAAAATATTTTAAATAAAGAGGTACAATGTCAAGTTTTAAATGTCTATTCCAACATATGGACACAGTTCATCATTTTTGCAGCTTTTACCATAAAAGTGTTTAAAATAACCCTTCTGTCATCCTCTCTGACTCACTGCCAAATTTCCTGCTTATTTCCTCCCTTGGTTGATCAGAAGGTTTAAAATAGTGAACAGTCTGAGCTTGATTAGAAAACATCTAAAAATGATGCTATCCTATACTTCATACAAATGAGGACATATTAATTTCTGGGATTTAGATATAATTTTCTTTCATTATAAAAAACAAAAGTGTTGCACACATAAAAGTTTACACCACAAACAAGGAAGAAGGAAAAATACTAAATGCTCGTTTAAAAAAGGCTGGATAAGGGGCGCCTGGGTGGCTCAGTCGTTAAGCGTCTGCCTTCGGCTCAGGTCATGATCCCAGGGTCCTGGGATCGAGCCCCACATCGGGCTCCC